TATCAGAGACAATGGCCTTGAAGGAAACCATAGGAAGATTTCCAGGGTAAGTCTAAGAGTTCATCATCTGTGCCCTCAGGGGTCAAGTGTTCAATGCCATTGGTGCCTCATTCCTGATGTCAAAGGACTGGGCAAGGCAGACACCATCATCTGTGCCTGGACCCTGGTAGGTGCTGACTTGTTTGAGTTCCTGGGGTACCCAGTGGTGGCCTGGCAGTGACAGCTGGGATTCCACGGAGTTATTATTAAAGGCTTGACCCTTCTTCCCTTCTTGGTCAACAACAAATTAGGTACTTTGAATCGGAATATTTAACTGTTGTAATCACTCTGGTAGATCTCTGTTCTATAGATGAGAAAGCTGAGGTCTGGAATCAAACATCTGCCTAGGTTATATTTATTAAAGCAGGATAGCCAGCTCCACACCAGTTCTTCCCAGCATACGGACTCCTACCTGTATCTCACCCTGTATGAGCCACCTCTCTGGGGTAACATGGGCTGGGAACAAGGTGTCACAGCTTCGTCTCAAGTCAGAACCTGGGCCGCAATTCACAGTTCCTGCTGAATGGTCCGCCTCAATTCACACCCAGGGTTGCAGAGTGGCTCACAGAGCCAGGGGGCAGCTAGTGCCACCTGCTCTCCAGTCTCTTCTGAGGGTTTCTGAGGCCACTGACCAGCACCTGGCCACTTCAGATCTTCAAGTACTCAATTGTCTGAGTTTGGTTCCTGGGACCCAGGCACTCCTTTGGGACTGTCCGTAACCCTCTCTGCCCAGAAAGCACAGGGCCACTGACCCTCTTGGTTTGAAGAATCATCGGGGCAGACGGCAGGGCAAAAAATACTGCTCCTGTCAGCTCATTGCCCCTAGTCCCTATTCTGTCCTATGACGGAGATCTGGCTCCTGGTTTCAACCCTTCCTACATGGGCATCTCTAAAGGGGCTGCCATCCAATGATTACACAGTCAACAGGACACAGTTAACTGCTATTTAAGTAAAGTGGGTGACCCTTTGGGAATCTTAAGTTTGACCAAATCACTTCCTGGCCTTGGGGCCCTCTTTTGGGGGCCAAGATTTTTAGCCAGCGGTAGGAAAGCTCTAAGCCTTCACCAAAGAACTTTCCAGCAAAGCCTGGATTTGCTCCCGGTTTCTACTCAACACCAGGGGGCTCTACAAGGCTGATTGTTCAGGCTTGGCTTGCAGAAGACGATAAGAGGTTAACTGCCCCTAACTTCAGGTGAAAGACCATCAAGCGCGGGGGTGGGGGGGTGGGGGGGTTATAGAGCTGAGAACTCTCTACAGATGCCCAAGAAAAAATAGCCCTCCAAGCCCTAGCGAGGAGTGTGGAACTATACTGATGACTATTCAGGTCCCCATCGCATGCACAATTCCTCAGTATATCTTTTGCATTGGTGAAAATGTTTCCCTAGTCCCATTAGAGAGTTGTATCTCTCTCCTCCAACCCGCTTTAGGCTTTTAGGAAAAGCAAAGGTAACTGTAAGAATCTGGAAGTAAAAGTGACAAAACACTGTATTCTGACGGGGTTTGGAGATGTTTATATACCCCCTGTCACCACACACGCACACGCACACATCGTTCGCCATGTTTAACAACTCATTACCCAGAACCTTCAAAAATTGGCAGGATATTCGCATCAAACTCTATTTATGTGACATTTATAGAGCACACTACAAACATACATGCACATACCTACATGGGCTGCTAGCTATTCAAGTCAGACTGTGTCTGGGAAGGCATAATCGTGCTGTGTCAGGAACTCTTTTAAATACCTTCGCTTTCATTTAGGAAGTTACCTGAATCAGATTCTCTAACAAACTCAAAAGTGCAAAGAGGGAGAGGAGAGAAAGGAAATCTGAGCCAAACAAGATCTGTTATTGTCCCCAACTAGGGAAACCGACCAAACTTTAGCGCTTTGGAGAACCCCTTAGGGCTGGAATTAGAGACAGATGTCTTTCAGGAGGCATCCACGCCGAAGGCGCTCCCTTCTCTTACCTCCTCCAACCACGGTGTAGACTCTCGGGAAGCCCCAGTAATTCCTTCATCTAATTGTCTTTACTTGGCAAAGCCTCCCCGCTGTAGATGCCTCTTGCTGGTTAGTTCTTGGGTGCAGAGAGATGTTCACCAGCTCTGCTCAACTTCTCTGGTTTCGTTGGAGGTGGGCAGTGACCTGTCCACCAAGAGCACTGCCTCAGAAGCTGGCCCCGTTTTTCTGCTCTGGATAGCAGTTTGAAGGGGTGCTGACAACTAGTCCCAGAACAGGGAGCCTCTGCCAGATGAAGTGAAGGGTGTACACACTTTGTTATCGTTCAGCAAGCCAGAAATACACACCCAGAGCACAACTGCTTACATAAGCATGAGGTATGCACGCAGCACACACTACGGTCTAGTAAGCACGCTCTAATGTTCGTCATTCGGTTATTACAGTGTCCTAAGTATGCCATTCTCCCTCTTTGCAGGTGAATGATATAGAAACACACACCTCCTGCCCTATCACTGTTAAATAACAGACACTGTAAACACATTTACATCAGGCACAGACTACACAACTATCCGTAGGACACACACTCGATACAGAAATTGTGGAGAAGCACACAGCATGCTGTCTTAGTCTGGGACCCCTCCCCATCAGACAGCTACAGAGCAGCCTCAGGCCCCATCGAACTTTGCAACTTCCCTCTGCAACGATGGTGTTTCTCCTTTCAGTCTGCCCCCCAATGGTTGGACAGGCTTTAGTCTCTACCTTTGAGAACCCACAGAACCTTCTCTACCACCCTGGATCCTTCTTCTGAGACATTTGGGGGGAGGAGAGGGCATTTGGAGTGGGAATGACTTCCCCTTGATCCCAGAAACATACCATCCAGATACTACCCTGACATTCCCAAGGTTAGATCTTCAGTTAGGGGACGTGGGTTCCTGTAAACTCATCCCCCAAGCTCACTGCTGCTCCCAGCTTATTTCTCCGGACCTTATGAAAGGAGGGAGAAAGGGGGGGTGTAAGATGCGTGGCTGAGCATGGGATCTAGTCCTTGCTGGATCAGCTCCCAGCCACTGTAAGAGATCCAGTAACTGCCACCCCATCTGAAAACTGAAAGCCAGCTACCTCTAATCAGCCAGAGAGATTTAGACTGCCACCAGGTCAAACACCTTTTGTATCTTAATGAAAACATGGATCTTAATTCGTTATTTCATGAGCTCAGTGAAGAAAAAAAAACAAACAAAAGTTCACCTCTGTAGTATATAATGCACTCAACTTCCGGAAAAGCACCAAACTTTCTACTCTTATTTCATGACAAATGAATGTCGATTGTTAAAAACAACAGTCCAGCAAATCAGTTAGTATATTGTAGAAAAGTTTGAAGCTTGCAATGTGTTTCTGAAATCGGGATTTTATATGAAAAAACTCCTACAAAATGTTATATATTTGACTAAAAAAACCCTTAGTAATATGAGGATAGTAATAAGAACACCATGTATACACCTATGTATATAAGAGGCATGTATATAAGAGGCAAAATATAAATTTACACGGGCACAAAAAAAAAATAGAACAAGCCATGCCTACAGTAGCCTCTAGTGAAGGGCCGGTAATTTCGCCGGTGTTAAACAGCCGCAACACAGAAAACCGATCTCCAGAAAACAAAGCAGTAGCACCATAGTGACAGTCCTAAGCGACTGCCATGCTGGTTGCTCTCAACCCTTGTTTGTGTCATTTTTTGAAAGGCCACAGTTTGGCTGAAGAGCTCGCACTTTTGAGCTAGCTAGCTGCTGAACTACGGCGGAAAAGAAACAGTGAAAGTCCGTGTTAAAAGAAAAAACAAAAAATTTATTTGGGAATTGACAAGGGACGCGCGCACACACACATACAAATACAGCAAAAGTGCTCTAGTTCCCTCTAGAAAATTTGGTCCCCGAAAGACATTACTCAACCACCAGGTCTCGAAATTTCGGGCTAGCCGGCTGGGGTCACAAGCCCGTGTGGGCCGGCCTTGGCCGGTTTCACATTTCTCCTTCCAAAGGTGGAAGAAGCAAGGAGTTTGAAAAACAAAAACTAGGGAGGGAAGTGTGGCCCAGCCTGGCAGCGAGAGATCTTCTGGCATCACGGGCTAGAATCGGAAGATCCGGGAAAATTTGTTTTGAATTTATTTTTAAAAATAGAGAGAAAACTCCCGATTTGTAGTGGAACCCTTCTTTTAGCTAGTTATTTTCTCCTGGCTCTGAGCGCAGCCTTCTGAAGTGACTACAGGAATTCTACACAAATCTCCCAGCAGGGACGATGAAGAAACTAAAGCTTTTGATTTTGTTGTTTGGTTTTAGCAAAGGCCATAACACTTCACCGTTTTTCCCGACGAAAGTTTTATTCTCTCTCTCTCTTTTTTCCCCTTAAAAAAGTATTTTTTTAAAAATATATTTTAAAAACCTCACCGATCTTTTTAGCAAGACGTTAGCCAGCCACCCTGGCATGGAGGTACCCGAAGCAGTGTGCTGAAGAGCGGAGGCACCGCGGCCTCTCTAGGCGAGGGGATGTGAACCGGTTTACAGGCCGCGGACCGAGGCAGTCCCTGCTCCAGCCTGGGGCTCAACCCCCGCCCCGCCCAGAGGGCCCCTCTGCAAGAGGCTTCTGATCAGTTCCAGGAGGGATCGCGGAGCGACGAGGCACGTTCTTTCCCTTTCTCCGGCAGCCTGGGTCCTGCTACCCCAGGAGCCCAGCGCTTCTAGCCACAGACAGCGCGGCGGTTGTGGGGTGGAGAAAGTCGAGCGCAGGTCCACCGACCTGGAAAGAGAAGGCCAAGAGGTCAGCGCGGCCGCAGCTCGGCCAGAGACACACTCCCTGCGGTGACTCCGGGACTCCGGGAGGAGCGGAGGCCTGCGGAAAGCGCGGAGAGGGCGGCCTCTGTCCAGGAGGGCATGAAGGCAGAGGCCCGGTGGGGAAGAACACCGGAGGAACAGCGGAGGCGACAAAGCGGAGTCGCAGGAGCGGGGCGGAACGAGGACGCGCAGAAGGCTCTAGGGCTCTGGCTCAAAAGGCTGTCCCGGAGTGTGTGCTGTCCGGATGGCTGCTGCGGCTACGACCCGAGCTCGGCTCCTCCACTCCGGGGCCGCTCCCGCACACGGTGCCACTCAGAGATCCAGGCGCGAGTGCAGCGCTCCCGTCTTGCTGTCGTGGTCCCAGTAAGAGCAATGCATCATGGCGAGCTCGGGTTGCCGGGCGCAGGCGAACTGCAGGCCCGGCGCGCTGGTGGGCGCGGGGGCCGGGGGTGCAGCGGTGGCCGGACTGGCGGGGCTGAGCTGACCCGGGGGTGGCGCGGCAGCCCCGTGGTGTGGCGGAGCTGGCGGGGGTGCGGAGGCGGCGTGCAGATGGTGTGCGTGAGGGTGCGGGTGGGGGTGCGGTGGCGGCGGTGGGGGCGCAGCGGGAGGGCCTCCCAGACCGTTGTAGGAGTTCACGACGCTGGGCGGCAGCGCCATGCTCTGCACACGCGAGTACGGCCCGTAGGAAGCGGCGGGGCCAGCCAGCCCCTTGACCACCGCGGCTGCACCGGGGCTGCCCGGGCCGGCTGCTGCAGCGGCTGCCGCAGCTGCTGCAGCGGCCGCAGCCATCTGGCAGGAGGCATAGGGCATGGGCGAGGGCGGCTGCGGCAGGGGCCAAGAGTTGTTGAGAAAACCCGATTGCAGGTACTTGGGCGGCGCCAGGTAGCCATAGCCATCCGCCCCCGCTCCCGCTACGCCGCAGCCACCCGCCGCTCCTCCGGACCCGAAGAGCCCCTTTCCCGGCTGGAAGTGCGCTGGCGGCGGCCGGAAGGGCCTCTTCATACGGCGGCGGCGCCGGTAGTTGCCCTTCTCGAACATGTCCTCGCAAGCCGGGTCGAGCGTCCAGTAGTTGCCCTTGCGCTCGCCGCCGCCCTCGCGCGGCACCTTGATGAAGCACTCGTTGAGGCTGAGGTTGTGGCGGATGCTATTCTGCCAACCCTTCTTGTTCTTCTCGTAGAACGGGAACTTGGCGATGATGTACTGGTAGATGCCCGACAGGGTGAGCCTCTTCTCGGCGCTTTCGCGGATCGCCATGGCGATGAGAGCCACGTAAGAGTACGGGGGCTTCTGCGCGGGGTCCGGCTTCTCGGGTGCTGTCCCGCCGCCTTTACCCGGACTCGGCGGTGGCGCCTCAGGCTCTTTGACTGTGCGCCCGTTCTCCGGGGCCAGCAGGGCCCCCGTGGCGTCCTCGGGCTCGGGGTAGCTGGCCATCATGACAAAAGCCGGAGCTCCTCGGCCGGGCCGTCCCGGGGCTGTGCTCTCCGGGCGCAGGCTCGCCTTGCAGGCGGGCGCAGGAGTGAGCGCTCGCAGCTGAGCTTCCAACTTCTGCAGGCTGCGGGAACCGGAGGCCTCGCGCCGCTATCGCTCTCTCCCTCCTCTTTCCCCCCCGGGGAGCGGCCGGCGGGAGTGGAAGTCAGCCTCTGGCCATCGGGAGTCTGCCCAACAGCGAGGGGCTCCGGCCCCGCCGCCCCTCCCCGCCCAGGCCAGTCCCCGCCTCGGTGGGTTTTCTTGGGGGAGCTTTCCCCTCCCCCCACCACCCGGTTTCCCGAGGCGCGACCCGCGTCTCTGGCGCAGCTGCCTCCTGGAGTCCCTAGTGCGCCAGGAGCCTTGCTCCGTTCTGATTCGTATGGGCTCCGCAGAGTTCCGCTTGCGTCAGGGGCCTTCGCCCCTATAGTGGGGCAGCCAGCAGCGCACGGGCGAGTTCATCTCTAAGTCTCTATCTCTCTCTCTCTTTTTTTTTTTTTTTTAAACGGCCGGCACAACTTGGACCGGCCTGCCCCGGGCCTTGGGAGTTTAAGAGACCCCGCCGGACTCACGCACTCATGAGTCCTTGAAATCTGCGGGTGTTTGCTTCACGGAAGGTCCGGACGAGGACTCGCTGCACCCTGCCAGTGTCCCGGGAACATAGTTCCCAGAGAGGAGGAGTGATCCAAGCCTCCTGGCAGCGTTCAGGTGACAGAAAACAACTCCTTTGCTCTCTGCTTGGGGCTGTGCCGGGGCTAGACTTCTCGCTTGAGGCTTAGGGAGGGGCGAGATGGCGAGGGGCCGGACCGGGGTGGAGTGGTAGAACTTTGCGGCCGCTGGAGGTAAACCAGCCCAAAGCTCGTGTCACGGAAGGCAGAAGTTTTGGCCTGCTCTGTCCCTCGAGCTCTCTGGGTCGGACTGGGGCTGGGGAGAGGATCGCTGGGAAGAGACACCCAGGAGTACCGCTTGCGTAGATTCTTTGCTTTTCTCCCTGTGCTGCGGGTGGATGTAGGCACCAGGTTTCTCCTCGGAATTTTCCTTGCAATCCCACGAGTTGGAGTTGGATGTGTGTTTTAAAGACCAACTAGCGTTCCCTGTACTCCGGCTTGGACACCGACGACGAGGATGTTGCTGAGGGATTGACTTTGAGGACCGTTGTGTGCACAGGTGTCACACGGGGGGGGGGTCTGTGATGTAAGAAATACTGCAAATGAGCTGTTCGGAAACACAGGTATGCTTACGTGCAAGGTTTGAGAGTTGTATCTGCTTGTTCGTGAGGTGTGGGAATCAAGTACCAGATTAAACATGGCTCGTGGATGTAACATCTTTTCTTTCTTCTCCACCCCCACAATCTTTACCTGCCTCCTCCCCTCCCAGCTTCGGTAATTCTGTTTCTACTGACTCAAAAGAAAAGCAACAGGCTGGGGAGGCACTTGCTTACATCTCAGTCATGGTGGGCAACAGTTTTGATGTTCTTTCTCTAAAGGTTTTGTCAAGATAACAGAAGTCTGGTGGGTAACCAGTTACATCTGCAAGAATAGAAAAGAACTCAGATGAAATCTTCTAGCCCAAAATCAGGTGTGCCGTTTAACTCAGCCTTAACGCACGCACGTCCAGTCCACAGTCTTGAAGCAGAAGAGAGGCTGGTGTTTGAAATCTTCAAACTCCTGGGTGCTGCACGCAGAGTGCCCAGACACTTTGTGAAGGGTCGTGGTCTGAATGAACGCCCTGAAGGTGTATTGGTGATTGGCTTGTCTAGGTGGCTAGCTCAGTGTCTGTTTTTACTTCTTTCTCTCAGGCTGCTTGGTCTTCAAGAATTCTCCAGAATCCCGAGAGCCTGCAGTGGCCAGTGGCTCCAGAATCCGCAGCCGCCTGTCTACATTGTGTGCTCTCCACTTTGAGATGAAGGGAAAGGAGGACAGGGTGTGTGTCTGTGTGCGTGTGTGGTTGGGTGGGTGCACGCCTCTGGAATCCAGCAACTTGAAGATGTCTCCAGATAGGTCAACAGGGCAAACCTGGCCTAACCGCTGGGGTGAGCGGAAGTTGGAGTCCTCTTGATTTCCCTGGGAGATACCTACTTCCAGCCCTTACTGAAAATATCCCCAAATGGCTTGGATGTTTTTCTAGGTTATCTCTCGCAGTCCAGTCCGGAGTACACAAGGGGCGAACAGCACTTCTTCAAAATCCGACTGCTATCTGAGCAGGCCTGCAGGTGTTTGTCTTCTTCCTCAACATCAGGCGCGTCCAGCTAGGGTAGGCGTGATGAGTCTGGTTGGTCTGGGCAGGGGCAAAACATCTGGCTCTGGTCCCATTCTGGAGGTGGTAGCTTCACCCCCCCCCCATTTCTTTTTCTTCTTTCTTTTCTTTTTTCTCTTTTTGACCACCCAAGCTGACCCTGGGTCCTTCTCTCCCCACCCCCTCAAACGGCTCCATTTCCGCTGCTCAGCTCCTCAGCAGCCAGGTGTGACAGCATTGTTGTGTGTGTCATCACTTCCCCAAATTCCTCTGTCGGCTCCCTTTTCAGTCTTTAAGGAGCGTGTGTGTGTGTGTGTGTGTGTGTGTGTGTGTGTGTTGCGGGTGTAGGACAGAGTCTCTATGGGCCTTTTTCTTTCTCTCTCTCTCTCTCTCTCTCTCTCTCTCTCTCTCTCTCTCTCTCTCTTTGTGGAAATAGGAGCCATGCATTCCTGGGAATTGATTTCTTGCTGTCCTTTGCAGGATCAGCACCCTAATCCCAGGTGGAGAAAGGGTGCCTCATGTGTGTACAAGGCTGGGAAACAGAACTGCAGGCGCCGTGGGGATCACCTCCCAGGCCGTGTCTGGCGGGCGGTAAGCAGCCAGAGCTAAGGACCGGAGACTGGGGTGAAGGTGCTTGTCTGCGCTGCGGTTCAGCGGTTCAGCGAGAGGGGGGTGCAGCAGGCGCACCAGGAAGCGGTGGGGGCGAGCTTTGAGTTACTTCTCTAACCCCTTAGACAGGCTGGGTAGGGATGGCCCTACGTTCTGGCAAGAGAGGGATTCTGTTCCTCTGGGCCCGTTCGCAGAGGTTGTGTGGGCCACCGCGTTTCGCCCGGTTCATTCTGACCAAGCGGGGCGTCTGCTTAGTGACCTCCGGCCTGCGCCCACCTCTTGCAGCTACGGTCCTGAGCCAGACGGAGCTCCGTGTTTCTCTGGCCGGGGTTTCCAGAGCCATCAGCGTCTCCAGCTCCTTGTGCTGCTAGAGAAATTCCTGCAAATGCCGAGATAGGAAGTGGCCGACGCAGCAGCCTCTCAGCAAGTCGGCCCGGAGCTCCGACATGTAGACGGACAGACTTGAGCAAGTCACTGGTCCCTGATGAAGACTTTTTCTCCCGGGCTGGGGCTTCCGGCAGCTGTGGCAGAAGGCACTGCCGCCCGCTGTGCGGGGGGGAAAAGCTGCGCTTCCCCAGAATGGTTCAGGTTGAACACACAGCCACCGGGCTGGCTGCATGTCCCTCAGGTTCCCTTTCTTATGGGTCGTTTAACAGTTCCAGTTTCCGGTTCCCTCCCCAGGAAAGAAGAATCCAGGAGGCTGAAGCTCTCTTCTGCGCAAGCCGACTCTTGAAAAGGGGGCTTCGGTGGAGCTTAGCCCTCCTTACCCAACTCCACACGCAATAACTACCGACTTTCAGCTTCACATTCAGACCTCAGGCATCCACATCCACTCTGACACACTTAACGTTGATCTCTGTCCATCTCTCTTCATCAACTCCAAATCCTCTCCACCGCGCCACTCTGAGCTCACCTGTTGCACATACTAGGTCAGATCCTACACATTTTAGTTAAAAGCATGTTAAATTGACTTTTAGACTCTAACCAAGCCTCTTTACACACCAGCAAGCCCTCCCATCTCTTGGCTTCCCAGCCCTTTGCTCCACGTGATGGGGATTCCATTTTGTGAAAACCCGCCAGACTGTGGGTTTGGAGACCTAATGGTGTTCTCAGGACATTTGCAGAGTAGGCCAGGGCCCCTTTGTTTCTGGATACCACAAAGAAGATTCCAGATTCCCTCTCAAGGCCCGGCCTGGGCTTCTCTCCGCAGTGTTTGTCAAGGGATGGTCACGTGCTGTAGAACCAGGCGATGGCTTTAAGATGCTGCACCTTAACCTGGAAAAGTGGGAGGTGGGGAGAATTTGCAGACAGCGAGAGAACAGAAAATGGATTTCGGAGAGGGTCTTGGGGTGTGTGTGTGTGTTTGCCCAGGACCCCTTGTTACCAGGTCTCCACAGAGGTCATATGTGGGCTTTACACTCTGGGTAGCCCACCCTTCCTTAGGTCCCTTTGCAGAGTAATTGAGGCCTTGCTGGGCTCTGGGTTTGTGATTGGGCGTAATTACTGGCAGACTGCTGTGGTGGTACAAGCAGGCTTTTGTTGGGGAGGTAATAGTCTGAATTTGGGGTCTCTGGGAGTGGATAATTGAGGATCCTGGTGTGCCCTGTCCCGGGTACTTTTTGACTTTGGCATTTTACTTGGTGGAGTGGAGGATCAGTAACACGTCTGAGACAGGAAGTCCCTGTTGTATGGAAGATGGAAACTCAAGTCTAGAAACACGCAGGGTCTGCGTTAGCCCACAGAGGTACCTGGCGCCGACAGAATGAGGGTCCTTAATGTTTGGCTCTTGTCTTTTTGCTTTAAGACAGGGTCTCATTGTGTAGTCCTGGGAGGCCTGGAGCTCTCTTTGTTGTCCGGGTTGGTCTTTGACTGAGATCTGCCTGCCTCTGCCTGTTGAGTGCTGGGACTAAAGGTATACACCACCACGCTGGGCATGCCCGCTCTGTTACCTGTGCATACCATTGGCAGGCTGGAAGACACCAGAGTGGAGCAGATGACAAGGGCCCCTTTTAACCATCAGCAATATCAGCCTGGGAAGTTAAGGGATCTTGTGTTGCTTTAGAGTTTTGCATTTTTTATCAGTTTTTGAGTAGCAGTATGCTCACCCAAACCAAAATAAAATAAGACAGCTTGCAGAACAAAGTCTTTGTTACCTAGCTGCCCATCTCACAGGCGGTCAGAACCTGTGCCCGCTTTATCACGTATTTTATGCGTATACAAGCATAAACCATTTTCTCCCGCATACTGCCACTTTCTGTACATGGTAGCAACTAGTGCCCTGCATTCTTCACCTGAGAAATCTCTGTGTATCATCACCTCCCCCCCCCCCCCCCCCCCCCCCCCCCTCTTTTTTCTCCCCCCCCCCCCCCCCCCCCCCCGCAGGGTCTTTCTCTTAGCCCAGGCTGCCCTGGAACTTGAGATAGTCTTCCTTTAGGTGCTCACTTCTTCAGTTTCAGATATGCATCATGGTGCCTGAGCTGGTTCATCTTCACTGTCACCGTGATTGGATTTAGAATTACCTAGGAAACACAACTGTCAGCCTCTCTGTCTCTGTCTCTCTCCATATATGTGTGTGTGTGTGTGTATGTGTGTGTGTGTGTAGTGAATGCCAAGTGTGTGAGGGTGCCTGAGGACTCCAGAAGAGGGTGTTAGAGGCCCTGGGGCTGGAGTTACAGGCAGTTGTGAACTGCCCAGTGTGGGTGTTGGAACGAAACGCCGGTCCCCTGGAGGAACAGCAAATCTTCATCTTGCCTGCGGAGCCATCTCTCCAGCCTCTTCTGTCAGATATTTTATCGTAGCGACAGAAAATTTCATTAACTCAGTGGCATCTAGGCTGTTTCCAAGCCTTTGTTTTCACAGGCAATACTTTAATGTACAATCTGTGTACTTAACTTTGTAGACATATCCATATATTTGAAAGCAAAATTTCTAGCAGATGGGGTCAAATGGCACATTTGTAAGTTTGGTTGGTTGTGCAAAACTGTCTTTCTAGGAAGAACCATATGGGCTCCCACCAACAGTGAATCCCTGTTTCTTCATCACTTCAGTATACATTTTAGGGGCCAAAGAGGGGTTCACCAAGTAGCCCAGGCTAACCTCACAAGTGCTGGGATTGCAGGTGTGGGCTACTACAACCTACTACACCATTTCTTTTCAAGATAGAAAACCTTTTTGTTTTTAATTCATTTTTATTTTATGTGCATTGGTGTTTTGCCTGCATGTATATCTGTGTGAGGGTGTCAGATTTTGAAGTTACAGAAAGTAGTTAGCTGCTATGTGTGTGCTACGAATTGAACTCAGATCCTCTGGAAGAGCAGTCAGTGCTCTTAATCGCTGAGCCATGTCTCCAGCCCCTCAAGATAGAAATCTTACGGATCAGTCGAGGACTCATCTGCATCTTTCTTTGGTTCCTTTCTGTGTGTCTCTCTCCTGGAGTGAACATCCTGGTAAACTTGGTGTTTAATATTCCTGTACCTGTTGTGACATGTGTGTGACATGTGTATGTGCTTCTAGGCAATAAATTAAGTTCTGGGTTTTTGTAGCTTTATATAACTGGCGTCCGGCTGTTCTGAAAGACACGCGCTTGCTTTTTTGATTCAACCAGATGTTTGTGAAAAAGTTCCTGGTCGACACACAAAGACAAGCGCTGTTCATTCCCCCTGTGTGGCACCGTTCCATTGTACGAACACGCTGTGGTTTATTTACCCACGTTCCTGTTGAGAGGCATTGGATCATTTCCTAGTCTTTACTGCTACCCATAGCTCTTCTTTGGGCTTTCTTATACATGGCTGCTACTGTGCCTGGGCTGCAGTTTGCCAAGGGTGGGAGTGCTGGGTCAAAGGTCACAGACAGGCATCTGTAAGTTGCCGGGTTACCAGCAAGCAGAGCCTCCATCTTGTCAGAGCCAGCAGACAAGCTGGAACAATGGGAGAAAGTGTGAGCTTGGGTTTCAGACATATCAGCGAAAAGCTGGCTCTGCAATGGATTTGCTGGGTGGCTTTAGAATGGCTGCACAGCTTCTCCGAGACTTGCTTCTCTCAAATGCAAATGGTGATGGTAGCATCCAGTGGGTTTCCCAAGTAGACAAATTGAGGTACCATTTGTAAACATTTAGTATAGAGCCTGGCATGGAAGAAGCACAGAAAAATATCAGCAATTATTATTCATAAGATAAACATATTATACTATGAATATACCAACAGCATTGATATTTGTTGTGGTATATTTAACTATGTGAAGGTGTGTCACCATTGTCTATGCTGCAGGATATTACTTTAACTCTGTTGCCTTTGTTAACAATGTAAACATGTGTTACGTTTGTTTGTGCTGCATTTGTTTAATTATGTAAAGATGTGCTGCTGTTTCCCCCTTGCCTGCTTAAGGCACCTGATTGGTTTAATAAAAAGCTGAATGGCCAATAGTGAGGCAGGAAAGGGATAGGTGGGACTGGTGGGCAGAGAGAATAAGTAGGAGAACTCTCAGCCCAAGAGAGCCGAGGGGGCAGCCTATGAGGAGTAGGACAAACAGAAAGAAAAGGTAAAATGCCCCGAGGCAAAACATAGATGAAGGCAAACAGGTTAATTTAAGTTAAAGAAAAAAAAAAGCTACCCCAAAAGTGAGCACAAGCTAAGGCCAAGCATTCATAACTAATCAGAGCGTCTTCATGTCTTTATTTGGGAGCTGACTAATGGCCCAAAAGAAAGCCTGGTACAAATAATGATTATTATTGGCAGGCTATGTTCTGCCTGTGTTTCTCTCTGTTTCTCCAGGGCTGCACTTTGTAGCACAGCAGGCCTGGAACTCATTACATAGCAGAGGCTGGCCTTAAACTCTTGATCCTCCTGTCTCAGCCTCTGAAATGTTGGGGTTATGGTTGCCTGTCACCATGTTATGTCTGCTTTGCAGGACACTACTTGGATCCAAACACATATATGTTGCAGCAGGCCGCTTGTTTCCGGCTGCTCAGCCCCGAAATAATCACATAGAAACTGTATTATTTAAATCACTGCTTGGCCCATTCGCTCTAGCTTATTGGCTAACTCTTATATCTTAATTTAACCCATCTCCATTGATCTGTGCATCACCAAAAGGTCGTAGCCTACCAGAAATGTTTCAGTGCATCTGTCTCTGGCAGCTCCATGGTTTCTCTCTGACTCTGCCCCCTTTCTCCCAGCATTCAGTTTAGTCCCCCCCCCCCCCCAGCCGCCTAGCTCTGCTCTGTGCAGGCCCAAGACAGTTTTCTTTATTAACCAATAAAAGCAACACATAGACAGAAGGACCTCCCACACCACAGATACATCTATTA